CTTATATGTGTGCTGCAAAGATTTAATTTATACATAGGTAGTGGGCACTTTTTCCAGTGGATTTTTCTTTTATACATTTTTTTTATTGAATCCTTTAAGATAGGTAAATTTGACACCTGAAGAAAACTGAAGCTCAGCAATAATTTAACAGCTTTCCTTCACAAGGTGAAATCTCTGGAGTGTGATAAGATACAAAATAGATTGTGTAGCTCAGCAAGTTTGTTGAAGCCCTTCCCTTGTGTTTCCGTAATATAACATAGATACATAACATAAACTTTGACTAATTCTATATAAAACCACCATAATCAACCAAAAGTTAAAAAAAAATCTGTGAGTGATTTTAGTCCATAAAATGCCAAAAGTATTGTATTCTGTTTGTTCTTAAAATGACTCATATCAACCAGGTTTATAGACACCTAATGGCAACACAGCATTTGATTTAGGGTGTAAGGGTATACCTCTTCATTATCGCTGCTGTTTCTCTAAGAGGAAATATAATTTGATGGATTCTTTCACATAAAATGTTAGGGATTTGATGAACTGGTTTCTCTCAAGAACATTAAATATCAAGGAGATTGACTTGAGTAGCTATTAAGGGATTGTAGTCCTGAGAACGTTCAATTGAAAAGGAAATCTGGGGTGTTGCAGGAAGTCTTCTTCCCTGTGTTCCTCTTCAAGTCATTACCATGTACACTGACGTTCAGAGAAAGGGTGAAATTAGAAACTGATATCTATCCATCACTTGGAACTTCATGGACATGTTCTATGTCTAGTATTGGTGTTTAAATCTAATTTTGGAATAAGAAATATTGTGTGAAGTATCTATAGGTATAAGAAGAAAGTGCAGTGGATATTGCGTGCACCGCCTAAGTAAGCTAACCCCTCCCAACTCCCTTTTAGGACCAATGCTCTTGTTTTCTCAGCTGCCAGCAAGGCTCGTAGCCAACCGCTCTCAGCTAAGTCTGTCTCTGCGATTTGTCTCAGCTTTACAACCCATGTTATAAATGCAAGTAATGAATGGCCCTCCCTGGTGGTGCAGCGGGTTAAAGCACAGCACTGAGAATCTAAAGCCACTTCCGCATGAGTTCGATTCCCGCCTGCCCTGGAGTGACCACATGGTGTGGCAGACCTCTCCTGACCCGCCCGCTGCTCCCCTCAGCAGTGTACTTCGTAGATCTGCCTGTTCTGTTCCCCACTCTGTCTCTGGTGAAGCCTCTCACCGCCCCTGAGCCTCCAGCCTGTACCCCAGTTCTGTATGTCCAAATAAATAAATCTTTAAAAAAAAAATAAATGCAAGTAATGGGACACAGTGCTAATCGCCATTCATTAGAGAATGTCTAAAGAAATAGTCCATAGTTATATACCGGAGGGTTACACAGCAGTGAAACATGCCTGGCCATATATACAAAGTGAATGATGCTTAGTGAAATAAGCAAAATGCAAATGCAAATCATGCCAGCAGGGCAGGACTAGTGTAGATGAGATGCTTAGTCCTTTACATATATTCACTCATTAACCCTCCATACCCTAAAAGGTAGCTATTATTATTGTCATCCCTTTTTTAACTGAAAGAGAAACCCCATCAAACTGAGGATAAGTAAATTAGCCAATTCATATCAGAGCTAGAATTTCAACATTGCTTACCACCAGAGACGTGGTCCTTATGTTTTCAGTTGATGTATTTCTTAAATAAAGTTTCAAAATAAGTGAGGGCCCTCCCTCGTGGCGCAGCGGGTTAAAGCACAGCACTGAGAATCTAAAGCCACTTCCGCATGAGTTCGATTCCCGCCTGCCCTGGAGGTGACCACATGGCATGGCAGACCTCTCCTGACCCACCCCCTGCTCCCCTCAGCAGTGTACTTCGTAGATCTGCCTGTTCTGCTCCCCACTCTGTCTCTGGTGAAGCCTCTCACGGCCCCTGAGCCTCTGGCGTGTACCCCAGTTCTATATGAATAAATAAATAAATCTTTAAAAACAAAACAAAACAAAACAAAAGTTTCAAAATAAGTGAAAGCTATTGTGTGTGAACATGTGAGTATGTGTAAAAGAATGATGAACACCCAATTCAGGATGCTGTTACCTTTCCAGTTGGGGAGATAAGAAATGGGCAGGGAAGCAGAAGACAAATAGAAACCAGAGTGTTGGTAACTTCTAGCGCTTAAGATGATAGTTTACTTTATAAAATAATTGTCTGGGGAGCCTGCCAACATGTACATTCCTTGGCTCATCCTTCATATTTAAATTCAGGGGGAGAAATCTGTTTTAAAAACTATTCCAGGTGGAATAGTTGCACTTGGACAGAATCTAGGATCCTCAATTTGAAAATTCACAGATAGAGTTGGGCCATATCTTTAACCCCTTTTATTAATTATCTATTGCTACTTACCAAGCATCACCAAACTTAGTGGCTTAAAGAGCAAACATTTTCTTAAAGCGATTTTTACTGGTAAAATTACTTAAAGGTCTACAGAATTGTAATTTGATATAGGTAGGTGACACATTAGTATCACCTCCAAAAATCTATTTTCATCTGCCACCATAAATTGACTACTTTTACCCAATTTACTTACTTCTTTTCCCCTCCCCCACTCATTCTTATAATCTAAGTTTGTTTTTGTTTGCCATGGAATGAAATAATATGGTGTTTGTCTTTTTCTGTCTGGCTTATTTTACTTAGTATACCTTCTAGGTCGCAAATGCCAAAATTTCATTTTTTATAGACGAGTGGTATTCCATCACATATATACACCACAAATGTTTTTATCCACTGGTCCATTGATGGACATTTAGGATTATACATCTCAGCTAGTGAAAACAATGCTTCAATGAAAATATGAGTGAATATATCTCTTCAATTTAGTGTTTACCTATTTTTCAGGTAAATACCTGGAGTGAAATATCTGAATCATGCGGTATTTCTTTTTTTAATTTTTTAAATCATCATACAGATTTTCATACTGGCTATTCAGACCAAAATGTGTATTAGAGTTCCCTCTTCTACCTATCCTCTCCAATACTTATTTCTTGTGTCTTTGATATAATCTATTCTAACAAATATAAAGAAATATCTCATTGTGGTTTTCTTATATGTCTCCGTTGTAATAGGAAATAGTGTCCATTTTCTGGTATGATTTGTGAGGCAAGAGTTGGGTCAGAATCAGCTGGTGTTGCTTGGGGTCATTCTAGCTGCCTGCCTGTGCCCTGCTGGCCTCATTTATTTCTTTGAAACTGGCATTGGACTTCTTCACATGGACTCTCACTTTCAAGGGTCTCAATGTTTTTCTTCACCTAATGTCAGATAGTGTTTTAAGAGGACAGGGGAAAAGCTGCCGGTGTCTTGGTGTTCTGGAGCCGTCACCATTTTCTACATTCTATTGTAAAAGAAAAATCACAGATACAAGGCACAAGAAATGAATTGTCCCCTGTAATAAGAGGAATGACAAATCCAAGGAAAGGAACATGGCTTTAGGAATGGGGAGGAATTATCTACTGAAATTTTATTATAATAGTTGCTGAGTTTATTATGCATTCAGTCAAAATATCTTCTGTGGGATTTGACATGTCAAAAGCTGTACTAAGTTAACATATATCTTGATGAGTTTGTGGATAAATATGTACCTATGAAACTATTACCATCATCAAGGCCCTAGACCTATTAACAACCTCCCCCAATTTTTTCCTACCCCAGTATTACTGTTATTATTACGTGTATGTTAAGAACAATTAATCTGTACTTCTGATATTTTCTTGTCACACATTATGGAGACAAACAACTCAACAATGACCATAAAACTAAGATTCTGACCACATTCTTCTTTCTAAAATTACACCTACTCCAATATGCAAGTGGAAACATGGTTTGTGATAGCAAGATATTAGAAACAACTTCAAACTTTATCAGTACTAGACTAGGTAAGTAAATTATGGTACATCTCTACAACAAATGCACTTTTACAACAATAACCCATTAAGAGAATAACATAGATCTCCTATTGATATAAAATTATCTCTGAGATATATTAATAAATGGGAATAAGAAAAATGCAAGAGTATATATACTATAACAATATTTACATTGTTAAAAGATGCTTTTAGATGCATACATTCTCTCTGAAGTTTGCAAAAAAAGAAGAAACTGGTAATGCTGAGTGTTTTCAAAGGAAAATAATATACAACTGGGAAAATGGGGATTGGGGAGACCTGTTTTTGCATTGTGAGTTTCATTATCTTGAGTATGAGTCATTTTCTCATCTAAGCACATGAATAGACAAATAAATTTGAGTGATTTGCATCATTGTTACTTCTTGCTTGTGTGCTTCCATCTTTAAATCATATCTGAAGCAGCATTTTAAAGATTTAAGAGAAAATAATATTTAGAGGAATATGTGGCATGGTTAAGAGGCCTGTGCCTTTAAGATAAACAGCAACATTCAGCCAAAAAAGAAAAGATTTGTACATTCAACTTTAAGATGCTCTTGATCAAAAAAATGGGGGTTCTATATGATGGAAGAAAGATTATGTTTTAATTACTCATTAAGGCAGTTTAAAAAAAAAACAGACATTTCTGAAGGTCTTTGATCTGCCTGGATTTATTGATCTCTTGGATCTCCCCTTTTCAGTAAATCTGAGACAGCTCCAGGGAACTGTCCAGAAAGTTCCAGAAAGTTTTATTAATTAGTTTTTTAGTAATGTTACCAGAGGAGTTTACCTGGTGGATGTTTACTACAGAGGAATTTAGTGCTAGGAGCTCACCTGAGGTTGCTGGCCCTGAACACCTGTATGTCCTTCCAGGAACAATTTTGCTCATGATTTGGAATAACCTGTAACTTGTGCCTGAAACAGAGAACCCAAGTGCAAAGCCCACGAGTAGATTACTTGGCTCAGGCCAGACATGCCTCATCTCTAGTCCAGGACCAGCTATCTTCAGCCCTTGGTTCTTAACAAGAAGCTGTCCTGTTTTTTCCGTGCTTCAGGTTTCAATGAGCAAGTATGCTACTCACTGTCAGAGAGGACCCGTTGCCCATCACCTGTAATGACAGGCTTTGTGGACCTTCGAGGCCAGTCCAGATTTCATTGCTTCTTCGTCTCTTTTATGGATTCAGACGAAGCTTGCTTCAGTAACCATGCTGTCTTTAATAAAAAGAGTTATTTTAGGATGTAGTTTATTTGATGACTCCTTATATGGCTGTTTTAAATTCTACTAAGTATATATGGTTTTAAATTAATCTGAAGGAACAATTAGGTTCCTGTTGGAATAAAGAACACAGAGAAACAAAGAGAAAGAGTTCTCTCAGCTAGAAATAATTCCACTACTCAGCAGCAACTTCCGGCTGAACTGAGTAATCTTCCCAGCAAATTTGGAACACCAGGTCGGGTACAATTCAGAGCTCAACTATGCAGTGTGTAAGCCTCACTTGGCGCTTTCCTGTCTCAGATACATAGGTGTGTTCATGTCTGAATGGAGCCTGAATTTCAAGAACCTTCCTTCTGACCTTTAAGTCTAAGTCAATCAATGTCTCATTTGGAGGCTGTTCTCACTAAGATAGAAAAGTCACTTGGAAAAGACAAGCCTTGGGAATATCTGAGAAATAGACAGCTAAATCTTTTCCTCAGACTGTAGATCAGCATGTGGGAACCCCTGCTGGAGGCTGTTGTTCCCACCACAGACATCAACACAGAGCTCGGAGCTCCCTCTTCCCCAACCCTGGGCTGGGGACCCATAGAAAAGGGTCAGAAATGGCCAGACAAGTCTAGGAGGAAAAGAGCAAAATCAAAATCAAAATAAAATCTGCCATTGTCAACCTCCCCCTAGTACTCACCACATCTGTTTCAAACAGTCCAGGGCCAAGAAACAGCAGAAAGCTTCTTCATGTCTCTCTGTTCCGTGTGCCTTCCACGGGTGCCCTTCTGGCTCCCCATCCTGCTTCCTTCCTATTCAGTATCTCCTCCAGATTCTTCTCCACTCTGCTCAGCTCCACCCTAATTTGGGTGAGGCAGGGAACCTGGAATCTCCCCTTTTCTTGGGGACCACACTGTTACAGTCCTACATGCAATAAATGGAGACCAGACTTTTCAGGTCTTCTGACTCTAGAGCCTGTCATCCTGGCATCATCCTCTGTGCATTTTGAATAACCCTTAAAAGTCCAGAGAAACAAAAATAGCTCCCACCTCCATTTGCCCCAAAGTTTGACATTATCCAAGCCCAAACCACACCCTAATTGAGTTAAAATATGATAATGATGATATGGGGAAGTGAGAGATTGATTAATTTATTAGCTGGATTCCTTTCCTTGATTAAAATTTAACAGTGTCCAATAAAACTCCATAAGCTTTCAAAAGGTTTCAAATATTTGTTGACAAGAGCATAGAAGAAAGATAAGAGGACAAAGTAAGGCCTCTGGCATGAAACTTAATTCTTGAATCATTTAATATCGATTATTTATTCATTTTTCCTTTCATTCAACCAACTTTTTGAATGCCTGCTTTCTGGAAAGACTATTATAGGGATTGCAAATACCCCAACAAATGAGACACAGGTTTTTCATTATTATCTTCATCTCCTAAATAAAGAATTGAGTCTGAGGAAATTAATTTTGTCACTCTAATACATGGAAGAACTGGGGCTCAAAAACCCAGCACATCCTGCCCTTTCACTTGACAGCACTAATGCCACCCCTCTGTCATTCATTCACTGAGTAATGTGAAAATTTGTGAATTTCAGTGCTGGTTTTCATTGCTTTTCAATCATGGGAATTATTTGTTTTCCTTAATTCTTTTTTCTAGACTGAACTGCACACACTGAGAATTTCTTTATATTATCTACGGAGGGGAGTACAGAACTGAGCATTTTATTGTTTGGGGAAAACTAGACAATTTTTTAAAATTAAATATATTCATTACATCATCCCCTGGTCCTTCTCCCTGCTCCTCCCCTACAGAATATCTCTGATCTATAATTTCCTGATTTAGATTTTTATAGTTACTTTTTTTTTCTAATTCCTTTTTTGTATATTTATAGACCTTCTTGATAGTAATTCTTTATTTCTGTATAGTCTCTCAAGCTTTCACTTAAAACTGATGTCTCTTCTCCCAGAAGAAAAGTAGGTGCTTCTAAAGCCAATAGAGTGATGTTTCACAATGTAGTCAAGCAACAGATAAGCATGCATTGGTCAGATTCAGAATGCAACCTACAGATTACCTCTCAAGCAGAGACACTATCAGTACACCCCAGTTACCACAGGAGAATCCCTAGTTCTCACCAACCAGATGTCCTTGGACTTGAAAACTGTGTAACAATCAGGGAGGGGCACGTATGCATATGTCCAGATGTGTTGGTCCTGATTATGTTACTTGCCTGGACAGACAGCCTAGATGTTCGAACTAAGAAGAAACTT